CCCCCTGCCTTGTTGAGTGGTTGCAGTGGAAACAGTGGCATTGAACCCTTTGGTACAGGGGGTGACACACACACGCACATTGGATCAACTTCTGTCTAGTGACTGTGTGTAGCATTGCGACAACATTCCACAGCTTCTCAACTTGCAAGCATTTTTCGGATGAGACTTCACTTTATGAAGCACAAACCTTATTTCCAACGACCCTGTAGGAGACACCGCAGCAAATTAGGCTGGCAGTTATGCCCTACTTGCCTGCTTACTGGTTACCAAATGGTAATTGTTCGATTCAGTTGATAGTCAGTAAACAAATGACTAATATTATAAAACAAATTTTGCTTGCTCATTTGACACACGTTTGCATATTTTGTCTATATACTTGGCGATGGTGAGAATGTTCAATCATCAACACAATTGCACTCAATTCAGATCTGGACACTGTTTGCTTGCAGTTTTCCAGAACTACGAAATGGTCGTTCTTGTTGAGCTGAGCCTCATCTTGTCCTGTCCAGAAAAAAACACCCTGGGGTGACAAAGCAACTTTCTTGCAAAGGACAAGAAAGGAAAAAAGGAGAATTCACCCAAGTCTCACCCCACTTGCTGAGCTGAGAAGGATTTCTTCCCTCAAAACCATCCAGCCCGGCCAAAGGTCCGGTCGGGGCTCAGAGCCCCCCATGGTGGCTGTGGACCCCGTGAGCCTCACTGGGTTTCTGTTGCGGCGTCCGTCACAGCCCCCAACCTGCTCTGAGAGGGTGGCAGGGAGCTCGTGCACCTGTGACCAATGAGAGGCGGAACAGAAGAACGCTGGGGAGTTCCCGAAGCGGTGCGGTGCGGCGCCGCCGTGCGAAAAGGTGTTGATATAGGGCGAACATGTCGGGTGCCATGGCGGGTCTGAGGAATCGGGTGTTCCAAGATCTTTAAGATGTTTGATATTGTTTGATGTCTTACAGGTCTTAGATGTCTTATGATGTCTGGAACACAAAGTCTATCTTATGACGGATTCCTTTTGTCTCGGAAGAAAAGGGACGTTTTCGTTCTTGCCATTAAACATCGGATCACGTCACGTCAGACTAGCTCTTTGTCTTACATGGTCTGACCGATGTCATTCGTATTGACCGATGGAATTCTCAAAGATCGACGTATCATGCCTTATCCCACCGGTCATTCAGGTGCTGCAGGTTCTTCGAAGCTTCTTCGATTTCGGGGGACAGCCCCAAGCGCTTGAGAAGCTTGTGTTGCCAATGGACCTAGCTATAGATCTTCCAACTGTGCAGCAAATTCTGGATTCTGCCAGGCCACATCTATCACACTAGCCAAGGTCGCCGGAACATTTGCATTATTTTGTTACATGTACACCCTGGAAGACGATCCCATGGAACCTGAAATTTCCTGGAAGACTAGAGGAACATCGTCTTCCGGACCAGGACGGACCCCGGGTCTATGCGAGTTGACTCGGGAGTGTATACCTGGACCTTCAGTACGTGACCTCTTCTGTTCGTCTCTGTCTGTGACCTCTGTAGGGACAGACATTCGTGACCCACTGAGATCTCAAGGACGGTCACGAAACCGTTGGAAGATCCAGGTCTCTCTCCCCACCGGTGACCTCGGCACATCTGAAAAAAGAGTTCAGAACTGTGGGTTTTTGGGGCACCGTGAGGTCCTTGGAGCAACAGGGAGGCAGGGTGCCTCGGCATGCACAGACCTCTGGCAGAAACGACTGGAAGTATCACAAAGTATCACAGGATTCGGATTGATGAAATCTGTGAAGATCCGTTTTCGTGTCAGTTTTGATTGGAATCTCAGCTCAAAGGCCCTCCAAGCAAGCTATCATTCTGTCTGACCCCCGAGGAATTCTCGGCTCCCTACTCCATCGCCTCAGCTCCCTGCTCAAGTCCAACCCACCGTCTCGCCACCAAACAACCGGCGCCTGGCCATCTTGAAGGCCCTGGAGCTCCTCCTGGGTCCAGGATAGAAGATTGAGACATGCAACAGCAGAATTTGTCTGAAATTGTTGATGAAATCATAAGAAATCAAACATGATGAGAGTCTGGATGTTGATGAGAACCATTTTGGATTGAAAAATCAAAAGCAATCAAACAACCACTGACCACACTGACCATGCATGCAGTCGTGCAGTCGTTCGTGCAGTCGTCCAGCTGCCCCCGTCGTTGCGATCCTCCATCTCGTCGCGGAAGTCTTTGAGGTTAAAGACCTGCCGCGTGGTTCGTCGGCTCCGTCGTTCGGCTCCGTCCGGGGCCCTGCCGAAGAGCCGTCCGTCCGTCCCCCGGTCGGTGCCTCGTAGCGGGAGGTGCCCTTACTTGCCACCTGAGGGCGAACGTCGACTGGTCTCGGTCGGCCTTGTTAGGGCGAAGAACAGCTGGGCTCGGTGCTTCGGTGTTTCGTAGCTCTTCAAAAAGACAGCAGCATAATTTAGGTATGATATGATAATAAGCAATATAATAAAGGATATTGAGTGAGTACAATATACTGTTCATTTAGTAGAAGGGTCCATGAAGGCGCAATCACCCAGTCCATGAAGGCATATGAAGGCTATATCATCAAGAAGGATTAAGATTTAAGATGATACGTACTCGTCCCACGTTCTGGAAGCTTTTGTGGCTTTTCCCAATCGCAGTCGAAAGGAAACATGCTACCTCGAGACATTCGGTCGATTAGAACTTGAACAAAACACAGACACACTGCTGCCAACATCTGAGTTTTGTTGATGAGGCTCCAGTCTCCGTTTCCGATCCGGCAACACCTCATCCTCAAAACTCATCTTTCAAGACGGGTTGTGATTGTTTCCATCAACTGTACGTCCAGACGGCCTCTATCTTTCCAACTTGTGCATGGGCCTTGTGTACTTCAACAAAGGAACAGAACGAGGAACAGAACGGCTTGCGGGAATGCACAACAACACCTGAATCACCGGATATTCACCCGCTTCACCAATACTTCCTTTCGCCATGTCCCCTGTAGACATGATATAGACATGACATGAGACATGAGCCCAAAAGCCCAAAAACTCGTCTTGGTCTTGACGAGGGGCGTCCAAGCCCATCTCCATTGCGATGGTATGCACCTCGCGTGCCCGTGCCGCTGGGCACCAAAGGGATACGTCCAGAGAATGAGAGGGGCATCGGAGAATGAGTCCCGTCGGTCCAAATAGGACCTCCCAAACAACATCCAACAACCAGGAGTCACAAGACGGGGTGTGTAGTCCCCTTACGTGAGTGGATGTGACAAAGGCACCCCTAACCTCCATGGATCGCACCCCGTATTGTGACTGCTGGAACGCATGTCATTCTTTTGGCCAACCTCCCCCTAATAGCAAT